CTTTTGCTCTATTTTCACCTGTAAAGCAGGTGGGCGGAGGTTTACCTTGGTGCAGGTGTGCCGCAGCGGTCAGTGGAAGAATCCGCGAGTTTCTCTGTGACTTTCCCATTACGTCATTGCGCACTCGGTGCTTGCTTGGAAGTTTAGGGGTTTTTTTCGCTGTAAAAAGAAGTTTTCTTCCCACGCACAACGGACACTAATTTTTATGTCACTTTTTATGGAATCAAACTCAAAGTAAGGTCAGTACTTCCATGCTTTAAACGCTGCACGCTCATACTCTCTCCCGCACTCGATATATTATCCATTGTTGCTCTGTACACAGCTGTTTTCACAAACGTCGCACTTGCTTACGTCACTGTCATGAGACATTCTCGCAAAAAATCATGGTTTTAGTAACGCAATAACGCAGCGTTCCTACGGGAAAGTAACGGTAATCCAATTACCGTTTTTGCAATAGTAATCCCTTACTTTACTCGTTACTTGAAAAAAGTAATCGGATTACAGTAACGCGTTACAAGTAACGCGTTACTGCCCATCTCTGATTGCGAGTTGCCAGCCAAGGAGCTGATGGACTTTACTATTAATAGTTTGTTACAAATTTCTATTCCTATTCTGGTCAAATTGGGCTTCAGTGTTTGTTTACTGTACAGCTCCAGATCCAGGTGGCAGCAAGTCAGAATGTTGTTATCTATGTATGTCAGCAGCAGCCTGTATTCAGTTTGAATATTGCTATAAACTGATATGGATCAGTTTATCTTTTATTCACTGCAACATTTAACATTTGGGTGATGGCACAAAGACTGAGAGAGGGGAGGATAGAGAGGGAGTAGGGTGAAGACAGCAAAGAGAGAGAGAGCAAAAAGAAACAGGTAAGAGTGGACATGTAGTCACATTCACCAAAAATTATAAAGCTGTAGCTTCATTTTTTACCCACATTTATTAATGATGATTTCACGTATCTAAGTATTGGGTTGTACTGTTGTTGATTATTTGGAACACCAACCTGCTCTTATAGTAATTATAAGATTATATTTTTATCATTTTCCAACAAATACAATTCCAGGAATATGGAGAGAGACACACAGAGTCAGAGAGAACAGACTACAAATCTGTTCTCCAATCGTGAAATTAGGGTACATGATGCTTTGTGCTGAGTCTGCATAACAAAGGGAGCATTTGTATGAAGTCAAAAACATATAAAACAACTCTATTACAAGTTTGCTTCATGTACAAGGTCTATGGAGTTGGCAGGGGGATTTTCCATTGTTTATACTATATAATGCTACTGTGTAAAAAAGGTTGATGACATTTGCAAACAGCATGTTCCATTACTAATAAATAAAGCACTGCATGCATGACATTATGACTGGGAGCTGAACCCCCCCCCCCCAAAAGGTTTAAACCTAGAATTGCCCACGCTCTCCAAACATCATCTAACTTGGTTTATTTTTCATCTGAGTGTTTAAATAAAAGCTTGTAGTAAAGGTAGTGCATATTTTATTTATCACAGATTTTACATTGGATGCCCTTCCTGATGCAACCCTCCTGTTTATCCAGCCTTGATAAACCAGCACTAGAAGTACACTAGCTTGGTTTGCATTTCATTCCAGTCTGAAAGAGATCTTTCTGTTCCTGTTTGCTAACCTGAATCTACAGTGGATTCATTCTTTTCAGCATCCTTATTATATTTATTAATTTTTACAGTAATCTTCATTTAGTAAACTGACATTCAGTTTCCAATACTCTGTTTTTATTCAGCTCTATATAGAACCTTGTCTCCCCAGTGTTTAGTCCAAAAAGTGTCTCGTGCATCAGAAGAATCAGTCCTGGCTCCTGAATCCACTGGCTCAGCAGCTGCTAACCCGTAATCTTCAGTAGTTTTAATGTTATTGCACTGTTTTACATTCATACATGCAGGAGTTTACACATCGACACAAATCTACCTTTCACTGATGTTTCCATGGGGACCCCAGAAAGGACAGTTTGCCAGCCAGCCTTGTGTGTTGAGAATGGGGCCACATCCTCTCGCTCTGATCCCAGTCCTCCAGTTTGTTTGTTTTTATATCGCCTTACCTGCTAACGTTCTCCATGCTGTGAAGAAAAACGACAATTACCCTCTAGAACATCAACGAGTTATGTCATAATGATCTTCATATTTGTACATGCTTTCATGTCAGTGACTCCCAAACAGCAAGCTCGTGTGACTGTATTTTTTCCTTGTGTGTGTGGTTTGATGTAGCAGCAGGTCTGTATCACTCACCTGAGTGCAGGTAGCGCCGCTTCACATATAACAGCAGGATCATAACAGAGCCCACAGCGAGGTACAACATCCAGTTTGTTGGCTCTGAAACAGAACACACATCAAGCTCTGCTGCTCCCAGATGCTAGCTCTTAGTATTACACTGAGACTCACCTTCCACAATCAGGGTGAAGCTCTTTGTGATGGGCACTTTCAGGGACTGATGGGAAACGCTGCATGTGAACCTTTTCCCAGAGTCCCTGAGCGAAGCCTGGAGGTAGAAGAAGCCCGACAACGAGAAGGTCATGTCCTGATTTTCTTTGTGGTAGGAAAGGAAGACATTCTCCAGTGACCTGGGATGTGGAGTGTCCAACATGGCTGGATCCTGCTTGTACCAAATTATCTCCACATCCCGAGGGTAGTAGCTGTTTGCCCCACACACAATCTTCCTCTTGTTACCCTCCACTAGTGAGAGACTGGGTCCCACATTGAGGGAGACATGGGGAGGCTCTGAGGAAAGCAGAGAGGGAAAAAAAACATTACTTTAAAAGCTGAAACGAACAGTGGCTTTTCTGCGGACTTTCTATATTTCTGAGTTCTAAAAACACCTCCACACCATACAACTTTTATCACATAAGATGAGAATGAACACTTTAAGAGCCTGATTTGCTTTTTTTTTTAAAAAAAGAAAAAAAGACTGAATAAAAAAAAAGAGTTAAAAACTTTTTTGTCAGCATTTACAAAGATACTTTTACACGCTATTTTGCCCTATTCAAGAAACATGGTTTTGCAGATATGTTTATGTGCAGCCCTCCAACAGCGTGTAGCCTGATGGCGATGACGCTATGCTGATAATGCTGAAAAGTGGGCGTGAACAGCAGAGAGAGTGAGTGACAGCAGGCATGCAACAGGAAACAGCAACGGACTGGTTCTACCACATATTTTTGACGTTGCTCCTGATAGCAGTAAACATCTCCAGCAAACTTTAAACAGTAATAATAAGAGTATTTATGGTTGTCACACTATGCTGTACACATCACAAACAGCTTTTTCACAGTCCACCTTAAACTCCATCCACTTAAACTCCATCAATAAATGTGGTTGAAAGCATATAAGCACAATTTAGTATTAGTACTTTTGTCCATGGCCTATGAACTCGCTGACTGTTTTCCTCACCTTCAATCTGCAGATTTATATCCACCCTGCCAAATAGTGGATTCACGGACACTGAACAAATGTAGGTCCCTTCACTGCTTATCATGGTGGAGGCGAGGGTGTAGGAGGCATCTCCGGCTGCAAAGGCACGTAGTCCAACACCACTTCCTTGGGTCTGTCCTGTGTGCCTGTTGTAACTGAAGAGCTTGGTCCTCTCACCGTGGTGCTGCTTGTGCCACTCCACAGTGACCTTTGCACCCTTGTGGTCGACATCAAACTGGCAGTGGAGCTTTTGCTGGAACTTCAGGCGTGCTTTAACTGAGGGAGTCTGTGTTTTGATGACCATGGCAACTGTGAAAAAGTGTGACAAACATGAACACATGCGAGTTGTTAAGCACATTTCTCAATACAAGTGTCCAATAACAGTGTAGGAGCCATGAGAAAGGCCATCTTTCATTTGTGTATTGAAAGTTGAAGATCAACCCTAAGTGGTGCAACATTTCTTAAATCTGAAATGTGACACCTCTGGCAATCCCTAATTCTAGGCCAGTACGGCTGAAGATTCCCGGTTAGCTGGGTACATATACCACTAAGTTAACAAACCACCTGGGTACAGCCTACTGAGCATATAGCTTAACAAGGATCCTTACCTCTTATCTGTGTACATGTGTTTATTTGTCTCATCCATGTAATCATTAACACCAACTGGCTGATATTAGTTACACAGACACAGGTTCCCGTTGCATGCATGCAATCTTCCTCATTAACTCTGTACCATTGTTCCACATGATAACACTTTCTTATCTTTAATTAGCTTAAAAATTCCTGCACACGTTGAGGAAATCCAAAACACCTGCCACAGATGCTCTTTGTTGTCATTAATGATGCATTCAACCACATCTTATAGGACAAATACACATTTGTTCTGGGACACACCCAACATGTGTGTGCACTCTCTCTCAAACAAATACTAATATTTCTAGGTTATGTGCTGGTGTAATACATTTTGTAGATATGTAAATATGTCATCAAGGGAGACTGCTGATGTCTAACTTTGATTATAGTTCTTCATTTAATTATTAATCAGACTGACCAAATCAATATATTTTATGAGAAGAATTAAGTACATTTTTATTATTTCATTATTTTAATTATTTTATGAACATTTTATTGTTTTAATGGATGGTTAGTCATTTGCAATCAAGTTAATTGTTTTATTTTCCTTCAGTCAAAGTTTGTTCCCATAATATTTATATTTTCTTCCTTTATGGGGTTCTGGCACAGCAATACTAACGACTAGTCATAACGCCAACGAACAACAAACTTTTAAGACAAATATATTCAGTTTTTGTCTGAAATCCTCATATGTTCGGTTTACCTGTGGTGGTGAGCACCTCTCTGTTAGGGATGGGGGGCCATTTGTGGTAGTCCGGCCGTCCTGGGGGAGGCTGGTCGAAGGGGCGCCTGAGGAAGCTGGTGATGGTGAAGAGGCCCCTGCTGTGTCTGAGGATGCAGGTAAACCATTGGTTGTACTCCCGGGCACCGAGGACAGGCCAGCGGACATAACTGCCCTCTGTGCTGTATCTGTGCAGCTCACACTTCAGCTGCTCTGCCTCCACCCCCTCCACATACTGCAGTAGATCCAACTTTGATCCTAGAAGACAATAAAATAAACTCTAACACACTGTTGTTGTTGTTCATGCTGTTTTCAGCCTTCTCGTCATGCAGGCTGCAGTAACTCACTGTTGATCAGGAAAGTGATGACGTTTGGGTTAACAGGAGCATCTCCTTTTTGACCAAACTGAAGTATAGCCTCTCTGTGGATGAGCCGAGTCTCTGTGTGGTTGTCCTTATTCAAAAACACACGCTCATCAATGAAGTTGCAGGGCAGCCAATGGATCTGATGGACACTCCACACACCTGAATGACACACAAACACATAGAAAATCAAGTAGTGTTAAGTTCATGTGGTAGCCTGTAGTGCCGATACTTGTTGCTGACCTACACACAAGCTGTAATCTGTGACAATAACTCACCTGCACTTAGAGACCAGTAAATAAATATCGTGAATATTAAACTCATGATTCTTCCCCGGTGCCTTCCACGGTCATACCCCTTGCTGCGCGATTGTCACAGGAAGTTTGTCGGGATACTTTCACTTTCACTCTGCGGGAGGGGGAGGGGGGAAGGGATGCTGTGCAGAACAGGATAACGAGCTGCTCACAGAAGAAAATTTAAAAAAAAAAGTTTACCTAGAATATTTGCTATTAAATTGCGTTAATTTCCCCGGATAGGCTGTACAGGTGTGCTAATTATTTTATTGTCAGTCATTATGAGGATGACTGTGTGTCCTGTGTAAACTACTGTCTGTGCTATGTCATACATAAAAGCTGGATTTTTACGGATTCGTTTTCCCACAAAGGTCTATTGTTAATTTGCTTTTGTCTTTTGTTTTTTTTGGTGGGGGGTGTCTTTTTGTTTTGTTTTTTAACTGTATTAAACTTGCAGTACCTTTGTTGTCCTGAAGTGTCGCTGTGAAAACTGACCGCGTGAAAATACCAGATCAATAGAGAGAAGTCCTGAAATTCAACACACGTCGTACAAGAGAACTTTTCCACCCAATTTTATTAATGAACAATAGCAATACAAACAGGTGAGGCGCTTATCCACCAAACAAAAATAAATTATACAAAGGCTGAGTGTTTAGGAGACATATCAAATTCAATAAATATTAAAAATATTAAAAATATTAATTAACATGAAAAAAGCATAAGCATGAAAAAGTTCCTAAAGAAAAAAAAGAGTCCTGATACCAAAGCCCAAAAACATATTCCATACTGTTTTACTGCATCCTGTTGGACTGTAACCAACTCCTCCTGTGATTCCAGAAAGCCTGCAGTGATTCAGTGTGGAAAAAGCAGACAATCCACACTTTCTATATCATTTTCACAGAATACTCAGGTGGTCATATCCAAGTTAAACCAACTAAAGCCTGAATGATTATTTTGTTGGTAAATTCATTTACAATTTTGAATTTCTCTTCTTTCCCTTTGGGAGGAAGAGGAAGTGAAATATGCCTACTCCTTGTTACATGAACCTCCTCAGCCTCAAATTCCTTCAAAATAGAAGAAGACTTTCTGCAACTGAATGCTTCTAAAAACCTTTTGTACATTTATCATCACAAAAGTCAATTACTGCTATGCAGAGCTGTCTGAGTCCAGGAGAAGTCTCAGAGTACACAATGTCTTCTTTATCCATCCATCTTGAAGGCTGTGGGATAAGTTTTTAATCTCATCTGAGAAGGATGGTTTGTCCAGTTTAATCTATGCAGCATTCTCTTTTCCGATGTCTCAAAGTGATTTAAGATATAGATAATGCAATTTTAATTTAGTAAACAAATTTTGTTATACAAAGAAAAGAAATGTGGTTAAAAATGTTGATGCCTTTGGTATAAATGCAACTGAATTTGGAGTTTATGGATTGTGTGTTCAAGCTTCTTTCCAAATCCAAAGTACTGCAAAGTTTTCATTAGAAAAAGATGTCTGACATCATCAAATGCACTACAAAAATATAAGAATACAATATATCCATGCTCTTGAATTAAATAGGCTTCCATCAGTACAATCTGACATCAGTCCAGTGTTATTACAACTGACCATCCGTTCTAAAATAGCTGTGAGCTGGTATGTCCCTGTATATTTCTTTGAAGCCATCATCAGGATCACTGAATTCAGATCCTCAGTTTTCAGCTCTGATTCACATAATCTTTGAAAGAGTCCTGAGTATACAGGATAACATCCTGAATCCAAAAGAGTAATCTGTGGAGCATAAACTGGAATAAAAAGTGACTACTTATTTGTTAGTACTTCAGAAAACTATTTGCCAACAGACTTGTGATTGACTTACATTGGATGTCTGAATCACTGATATCTAAATTAATAAAACATGACAAACTCTTCATACCTGATAAAAAGCCATCAAACTTTTGCCCTTTTGCAAACTAAAAAACGGCCTCTCTTAAAAAGCCCTGAAATTTAATGACCCAAACAAAACTGTAATGTTCACCATAAATTTTAAAAAAGAAAAATAAAATAAAATACAACACTTGTTCAAGTCAACCAGTTCACTAGCTGGTAACCCATCATTTTAAGCAGAGTTGTAATGCACTGCCTCACTGTCACACATGGAATGCAGGAGTTCACCAGCCCTCAGTCCGTCGATGTATCTGTGAAGACTCTGAAGGAAGACTCATTTAGCAGCTCACCTCTCTTATTCAGTCTGTGGCCACAACCTCTTCCTTTCTTCCTTTCAATTCAATTCAATTCCATTTTATTTGTACAACACCAAAACAACAGTAATCTCAAGGTGCTTGCCATTCCCTTTTTTGTTTTTTGTTTTTATATCACCTTACCTGCACCAACTTTCTCCACACTGTGGAGGGAAAAAAAAACAATAATTACTTTAAAGAACTTCAACATCTCACATGTGATACAACCAAGTTCCAAAAGAGCTGGGACGGTGTATGAAATCTGAATAAAAGCAGAATGTAATGCATTACACATCTCATGATCCCATATCTTATTCACAAACATTGAAAACATATCAAATGTTAAAACCGATAAAATGGAGAATTTAAAGAAACACAAATAGTTCATTTGGATTTTAATGGCTTATTTATTGTGAGGGTCCCAGGGGGCTGGAGTCTGTCACACCTACTGCAAGGTGAGAGGCGGGGTACACCCCGGACAGGCTGCCTGTCTGTCACAGGGCTAACACAGAGAGACATACAACCTTTCATGGGTAATTTAGAATATCCACTTAACTCAACCCCAATAACTGTATGTCTTTGGACTGAGGATAGGCTCCAGATACCCCTGCAACCCTGATAAGGATAAATGTAAGAGAATGGGTGGATGGAATTTGATGGCAGTAACTCTATGGTGTAAAGCTGTGTATTGAGTGTATCAAACCCAAATGCAGAAATCAGGATTCGGGAGTGAACTGATAAGGCTGGGACACAAAGGAAAAAATCAGGAATGATGAGACCACAGGCTTTAAACCATACACAAGCACAGGAGACAAACAACGCCTAACACACAACATGAAGTACCTAAACATGGAATTACAAAGAGGAAAGGAACACAACCTAATAACCCAGAACAGAGCCCAGAGAAGTAAAACTAAGGCCTCAAACTAGAAACACTACACAATTATCAGTAAACTGACACAAAGGAGCAAGTGCCACAATACCGAAATGAGATTAGGTCTGATACAAGAACACAACAGAGGCAGGAATGCATAATGAACTAAATGGATACAAAATAGACTAAAAACCCAGAAGGGAACTAGATCAGAAAAACAACTTTTTCCCCCATTAAACCTGTCCTGCCTCGCAGCTTTTGTAATCCGAATTATTAGCCAACTCCAATGTTGTGCCAAACATATTTCGCTTTTCCAAGATGAGCGCCATAAAATCTCTATATGCTCCTCCTGTTTGTGTGTTTCTGTATTCGTTTCTGTATTCATTTCTATTAGTGTTATTTCAGTTATTATAGTGTAATATGACCATTTCTAAGCTAACAGGCAGGAGAGAGAAAAGCAAGTGGGAGAAAATAGGAGAAAATATCAAAGATAAAAGGATAGAGCACAAATAGAAAAGCACCACCTGCTGCACCTGTAGTCCCAGAACTGCCTGGAAGGTTGCGACTCCAAAAACACAAAAACACAGCTGTTTCGTCCACACGTAAACGGCGTTCAAATCACCGAAAACTGAGATTTTTTAAAACTCCTTTTTTGCGTTTACATGTGGATGAGGAATACAGAGTTCGTCACGCAACGTCAAAGGTATGTGCCTTATTTCACGTCACGCTGTGCGCCACGTTATTGTTTACATGAGATGAATTGCAGAATGGCAGAAAATACTGTTAATCTGAATATCTTCAGTTTTTACACGCTTACATATACACACGCAGTTACTGTCCCTCCATTTAGAAAGGCAGAGGCGTCACGGTGTGATTATTTTACGTGTAGTTGGTTTTTTTCATGTGTAATAATATTCAACATTGCTATCAATACATTTTTCAAAAAATGCCTCTCTGTGCAAAATGGGTTTAAAAATATAAACAACTGTGGGATACTGTTTGTCCTTGACTTGAACCGGGGGAACAAATCGTGGCAGGATCAGCCTGATATTATTTGTATCCCACTGTAACATTACTGTATAAAGAGCTAACATCTCCAAAATGTCAGGAGTAGTTAGTCATTACAAGAAGTGTTTGTGAACTAAAACTCAAGAATGTGGGATACTGTTTGTCCAGGATCTGGAGACCGGGCCCCACACTTTGGGAAGCTCTGGGTTAACAGAAGTTCATATTTAGATTATTCTTTGTGTGACAGAGCTTCAACCTGCATTTGTGGATGTGACCTGTATTCACAGACACTCACTTGTAGAGGTGTTCGTGAGCTTTGCATTGATTTCTATGACAGAATTCCTGTTTTTAAAGCATGGCCCAATTCTGATTGGATATTCTGCCTTGTCTGTCGTCTGTTGCCTTTCATTTGCCAGGTGGCATATTATTTGATTAACTATCAAATTTAATGCTTCAATGCAACTATTTAAAAAAGAAATTGACCTTGTCCCTTAGACACATTCTCTGAACCTTTTGACGATATTATGTACAGGAAACTATGACATATTTAAAGTTTGCAATTTTATGGAGCATTATTCTGAAATTGTTAAACAATTCTTAGACACTTCTGGGAAACTCTGCCCCTCTGAGATGCTCTTTTTATACCCAGTCATGTTACTGACTCCAAAAATGTTTCTCCCACTGTTTTTTCAGTACTGCAGACTTTTCCAGACTTTTCTTGCCCAGCACCAACATTTTTTTCTGATATGTTGCTGTCATCAAATTCAATATAGTCTAGTATTTTTCTCAGTAAATTTTCTCACTTTAGTCTTTTCACATGTTTTCCATTTTCTTTTAAATTGCAAATCATCCATTCTGTTTATTTATCTATATTAATAATTATTTTCTGTAGAATAAATATCATTTTCTCTAATATATGTTATTTATATTATTTTCTTTACATTTTACACACAACTTTGCAACTTTTTTTAAAATTGGGGTTGAACATGCTTTATATGTCAGTTGCTCCCAAACAGCAAGCACGTGTTCCTCAGGTGTGATTTAGCTGGAATTCTGTATCACTCACCTGAGTGCAGGTAGCGCCGCTTCACATACAACAGCAGGATCACAAAAGAGCCCACAACGAGGTACAAAATCCAGTTTGTTGGCTCTGAAACAGAACACACATCAGGCTCTGCTCCTCCCAGCTGCTAGCTCCTAGTACTATACTGACACTCACCTTCCACAATCAGGGTGAAACTCTTTGTGATGGGCACTTTCAGGGACTGATGGGAGACGCTGCATGTGAACTTTTTCCCAGAGTCCCTGAGCGCAGCCTGGAGGTAGAAAACACCTGACAGCAAGAAGGTCATGTCCCTATTTACTTTGTGGCTGAACAGAACACTATGGTTCAGTGGCTTAGGATGTGGAGTGCCTGGATCCTCCTCGTACCAGATTATCTCCACATCCCGAGGGTAGTAGCCATTTGCCTCACACTTAACCATCAAGTCCTTGCCCTCCTGCAATAACAGGGTGGTTCCAACATTGAGGGAGACATGGGGAGACTCTGAGGAAAGGAGAGAGAAAAATAAATAATAATAGTAATTTCAATACCTAACAGCAGACATTTATTATAGTAACTGGGCTGTTTTATTTAATTCACTCGTTTTAATTTAATATTCTTTCAGGTCAAAACTGGTGACATTTAAAAGTTGAGATTTGGTCTGAGTTCCAGAATTCTAGGAAGTCAAATTTGGCAAGATGCATTTCAGGTTACACACTTAACAACTTAACATTAAATAATATATATATATATACACACACACATTTTTATATATATATATATATATATATATATGTAGTTTCTGACCACACTTAGTGGAGTGGAGTGGAGTAACAATCCAACAAATGGATTTAACAGTTCATTAAAATTTGCCTTCCATCCTTCAAAGTTAGTTGGAAATAGATTCAGAAAACCAAAAAGAACTAATAACTAAGAAACTGAGATTCTTAAAAGGCTGCTGTATATTGACAACATATAAAAAGTACCATATAAAGATTTCAAATATCATGTCACATTTGACCTCTTACATTTCCTTCAAGGTCAATAGATTGATCTGAAGGTCAAAGTAATAAAATGCTATAAAGAGCTATTTAAAAATAGGTTTCTTACTCTCATTGTTTGTACTGACAACATATACACCAGTCAAAGGTTTGGACACAGCTTCTTATGGCAAGCACAACAGTCAATCATTACTTTAACAACTGAAGATCAGTCAGTCTGGAAAACTGCTAAAATTTTGAATGTATCCCCAAGTGCAGTCCCAAAAACCATCGAGCACTACAATGAAACTGGCTCACATGAGGATTGCCCCACAAAAGGAAGACCAAGAGTCACCTCTGCTGCTAAGGGTAAAATTCATCTGAGTCACCAGCCTCAGAAATCACAAGCTAACAGCACCTCAGATTAGAGCCCAGATAAATGCCACACAGATTTTCCAGTAGCAGACATCTCTACATGAACTGTTCAGTGAAGACTGTGCAAATGAGGCCTTTGTGGTCAAATAGCTGCTAAGAAAGCACCACTAAGGAAAAGCAGGCGAGGTGTGATGGTGTGGGGATGCTTTGCTGGTGACACTGTTGGGGATTGATTCAAAATGGAAGGCACACTGAACCAGCATGGCTCCCACAGCATCCTGTAGCAACATGCCATCCCATCCGGTTTGCTATTAGTTGGACCATCATTTATTTTTCAACAGGACAATGACACCAAACACACCCCCAGGCTGTGTAAGGGCTATTTGACTGAGAAGGAGAGTGAGGAGTGCTGTGCCTGATGGCCTGGCCTCCACAGTCACCCGACCTAAACCCAATTGAGCTGGGTTGGGATGAGATGGACCACAGAGTGAAGGCAAAAGGGCCAAGGAGTGCTCAGCATCTCTGGAAATTCCTTCAAGACTGTTGGAAAACCATTTCAGGTGACTGCCTCATGAAGCTTATGGAGAGAATGCCATGAGTGTGCAAAGCAGTAATCAAAGCAAAGGGTGGCTATTTTAAAGAATCTAAAGTATATAAAATGTTTTGAGTTATTTCACGCTTTTTTGTTTACTGCATAATTCTATATGTGTTCATTCATAGTTTTGATTCCTTCAGTGAGAATCTACAATAGTCATGAAAATAAACAAAAACCATTACATGAGAAGGTGTGTCCAAACTTTTGACTGGTAGTATAGACATTTAGGGAATGATCCAATCCTATGTACCTTCAATCTGCAGATATATATCCACCTTGGCAAACAGTGGATTCACGGACACTGAACAAATGTAGGTCCCTTCACTGATCATTGTGGTGGAGGCGAGGGTGTAGGAGGCATCTCCAGCCGCAAGGGCACGTAGTCCGACACCGCTTCCCTCGGTCTGTCCTGTGCGCCTGTTGTAACTGAAGAGCTTGGTCCTCTCACCAGGGCGGTGCCTATGCCACTCTACAGTGACCTTTGCACCCTTGTGGTCAACATCAAACTGGCAGTGGAGCTTTTGCTGGGACTTCAGGCGTGCTTTAACTGAGGGAGTCTGTGTTTTGATGACCATGGCAACTGTGGAAACAGACGTGACAAACAACACAAGTGTCCTTTATCCAAATAGGTGACAACCACTTCCTGTATCTATGACATGACAATTATTTGGCCATCCACCATTCCAAGTCGATATAACTATAACTGTCTCTCTCTATTTCTACTCTAATCTCCAAGACACAAACACAGTTTCTTTTCAGCACTCTGTCCTTGAACTTCTGCCACTGCAACAGGCAGGCAATTAACAAACCCCTAGGAGATGGTCTGTATGGCTCAAAAAAAAAACAGAATCCTCATATGTGAGTTTACCTGTAGTGGTGAGTACCTCTTTGTCAGCAATGACAGACCAGTTGTGGTAGTCTGGCTGCCCTGGGGGAGGCTGGTCAGAGGGGTGTCTAAGGGTGCCAGCGACTGTGAAGCGGCCCCTGCTGTGTCTGAGGATGCAGATAAACCAGTGGTTGTACTCCCGGGCACCGAGGACAGGCCAGCGGACGTAACCGCCCTCTGTGCTGTATCTGTGCAGCTCACACTTCAGCTGCTCTGCCTCCACCCCCTCCACATACTGCAGCAGATCCAACTTTGATCCTAGAAGACAATAAAATAAACACTAACACACTGTAGTTGTTTTTTTAGCCTTCTCCTCATGCAGGCTGCAGTAACTCACTGATGACCAGGAAAGTGATGGTGTTTGGGTTAACAGGAGCATCTCCTTTCTGACCAAACTGAAGTATAGCCTCTCTGGGGATGACCCGAGTCTCAGTGTGGTTGTCCTTGTTCAAATACAAACGCTCATCAATGAAGTAACAAGGCAGCCACTGGATCTGATGGACACTCCACACACCTGAATGACACGAATACATCAGTCAGACAGCATAGCCGTTGGAATTCATGCGGTAGACTAGAATATCTATAGTCACTGTTGACCTAACACGCACAAACTGACCTAAGCTAATCTGTGACAACGTGTTGCACTATAACTCACCTGCACTTAGATACAAGTAAACAAAAATCCTCAAGATTAAAACCGTCATTCTTCTCCACTGTCAAACTCCTTGTTGTCCGATGTCCACACAAAGTTTCTCTTGACACTTTCACTTTCATTTCAAAGGAAAAATAAAAAAGGAGTGCGATTTCTGGCGTGATGAGCAGCTCGAAAACCAAACCTTTAAAAAAACATTAATCATAATCAAAAAAGTTCATAAAATCGAGAATATATGCTAGGAAGTTGCAAATAAATAAATAAATCAGGATACAATGTCCTAGTTCTTTTTACAGCGTTCCTGTTTTCATGTTAGACGTAACATTATTGTAGCTGGAGCCTATCCCAGCTGCCACGTGGCCAGAGGTCTGTCTGATAGGAAGACTGTGGTAGGTGCATATTTTACTTTATCCATTACCACACAAACGGACTCTAAACTGTGAGCGGTACCCGGTGTACTTGGAGTCACGGGGCAAATGTACTCCATACTTGATTCGAACTCAGGATTGCTGTAATGTGACTATGTGAACCACCGCACCACATAGTTTAATAAATAGTTCACAGCAGTTCATGAGGAGTCAACAGCTTGCAACAGGTGCTTTATATAAAACTCGTAGTATTGACTTTGCCCTGAGATGTCGCTGTGAGGGCATGACAACAGCAGCCTTACTAGTCTTTCCGACACCAGAGCTGATGGACGAGAGTCATGTCACTTCCTGTTAATCTCGTTTTACAGCAATTCACTATTTAGTTCACCTGAAAGTCCTCAAATAATAGCTGTGAATGTAGCGAAAGCACTCAGATAATTATTTCTCCATGCCCGATTTGAGGTCTAATAATCTACATCATACGTTATTTAGATATTGGGAGCGTAGTTAAACCACAACAAAACCTATAATGCATATGAGAACACGCTGCTTGTGGTGGTCGAAGGTGATCACTGTCAGGAAGTTACTGTCAGAAAGTTTTCCGCGGCTGTGTGTTTCTTGCCTGAAGTAAAGTAGTCGATGCATTATGCGGCTCTTGGTGCTGTTTGTGTTACACCGAAATGTTGGAAACCATAAAAATGTGAAAATGAAGCTGCATCTATTAACTATTAAGGAAAATATTTAAAAACAAAACAAAAAACAATAACCAAAATTGTTTACCCAACAAAAATGACATTCTGGGGCTACAGAGCCATAGAGCTCTATTCATTCTGCAATATGCTTAGAGCGCCCTCTATGAAACCGGAAATCCACAGAGTGGGAGTTCTTGATCATGAATACTCTCTGGTTGTACACGCTGACGCTAACAGCGGAAGCCCTTTATACGAAGTTGGTGTCACTCTGATAGAAACCTTTGCTGGGACGTAGTTTCGTGTTTGCTCTCTACTTCATTATACTCTGTTGTAAAGTATTAGAGCTGTGGTACAGCTTATAGTTGGAACTAAAATTAGCAAATTAGCTTCTCAGCATCCAGGTCCACTCTGCAGCTTTGGCACTAATAATGAACAAAGGTAACCGTTACACTCCTCACGTTCCCATACAGAAAACACGAGTCACAATTTCTGTTATGCTACAGTTAATGTTGCATGTGTTAAAAGGAAATAACAGCAAACCGTGATTTTTCGCCATAATCAACCCCCACAAAATTAAATAGTATCAGCTTTAGCAGTTTAAGAGGTAATGCTGTTCTCTAACCGCTCTGCTGTTTGTGTGTGAGAATGACAGAGCAGCGACATTTTTTCTATATATATTTATATAACTTGTATTCATTCTGTGTGGAACTGAAAAATAGACACTAATACCTTATTCTACAGAGTGTGAATGTTCATATACAAGATCACGAATTAAAATAATGAGATACAAGTAACCTCTCTGAGCTCAGACCATGTTCCTTCCACTGTCAACTTAAGATGAACCAGAGTTGAACTTCAGCTTATCTTCAGTCAAAAGCCATTTTCAAAGTGGCATTTTTTGGTCTTAAGATCAAATGTGGGTTTTTTTTGTGCAGCTTTGCCATTTTAGGCTAATTTAAGGAGCTGAGAGGACAGTTAAAAATTTTCAAAAAAATCAATTTCCTCTGGCAAATTTGAGTTTTGATGCCTTTTCTCTTGTTCTTTCAGACTCGACAGTGCTTTGGGGAGCTTTCCTCCTGGCTGATAAGCTGTGTTCCCCCTCATCTCTGTCCACCATTAAGAAAGCAGACTGGAGCCGGGTGGGACATGTGATCCTGGAAGCACTCAAAGAAATCTGCAGAAAGGATGAAGTCAGTGACTGTCCCAACCCAGCAGCTGAGAGCTGGAAAAAGAGGATGGTTTGTGTCGTGTGGCTGAAGCTGCTGTGCAGAGAGGCTGAGGAGAACGTTGAGTTTGCTTGGAGGGAGAACCCTTTCTTCTCTCTCCAAAACAGCCTCCCTGAGGTCAGCCGTGTCGTCCTGCTGGAGCTGGTGAAGTCAGCAGCAGCTGCGGGTGTTTTTGCCAGTTTCCTCCTGCGTCTTCCTCACGCTCAAATCTGTGCTGAGCTGGAAAGGCTGGTGGAACATGTGAGGAGCGATCCCATAGGGGAAGACGATATCCGACTCCTTCTGGAGGTTTGGTGGGAGCTGTGGAAAGGCAGAGTGGAAGAGGAGGTTGGAGAAGAAGAGAGCATAGAGAAGATGTTTGCCAGCCAGCTTGCTCGCCTGTCCTCTGAGTCCTCCAGTCTGTCCCCTCAGGCTGCAAAGAGGTTAAAGTTAGACACGCCAAATTCAGCAGATATTCTGCACATTCTTCTTTACGCACTCAAAGACATGAAAGGTCACATATCCTCACCTGACCTCTGCTTTCAGGCCTTATCCATTTCCCTCGATGCTCTTTACACAACCTTCCTGATAGACCAAAACATGGTGCTTCCAGCTAAAGAGAAGTTGGACTGTTTGTGTAAAATCCTCCGAGCCAGAGAGGAGAACATGGAGAAGCTGAGTCCTGAAATGATTCAGGAAGCTCTGAAAGACTTGCGTGCTTCTCACACACCTTCTCAGTTTAATCTGCGCCAGATGAAGCTGAGTGAAGCTCTGAGGATTATCACAGAGCTTGCACAGTTTTGGCAAAGCGGTGTTCTCAATCAGTGTGACCACTCCAGCCCTAGTTACTCTGCTTTCCAGCTAGAACAAAGCATCCAGAGGGTCCTGGCTTCTCTAGAGGAAGCACCCGGAGCTGGGAGTGACGACTTTGAAGGAGAGAGTGATACACTCAGAGGTGTGCTGAAGTCACTGTCCCTCCCTGCAGCAGAGAGCAGCCCTGAAGTGAGCGCAGAGGTTGCTGCTGTCATCATCACCCATCACCTGGAAGACTGTGAGGACTTTGCAGTGTTGTTTGCCAGCGAGCCATTATGGGCAGAACGTGCGGATCGCTGGCTCGACTGCCTGGAAAAAAACCAGGGGGCATTCCGGCAGCACGGCACCCTTATGAGCCTCGCCTCCACCCTAATGAGCAGACTCCATAGCGAGAGCGCTAATGTGAGGCAGTGCCACAAACTGCTGAAAATCACTTCAGGTATTTTCTCCACACTCACATTAGAAGACCAGAACAAAGCGTTGGCTGCCATGCTGAGATTATCTAGCAGGGGGTTCTTCAAGTGCTCTGTACCTGCTGCTCTAGCTGATGGGTTTGAACAGGAGCTCAACATGACCTTCAACTGCATCATTCAGGGGGCGGGCGGAGCTTCAGTGGGAGCTTCACAGGGCAACCTGACTACGGCAGCCTCTCTAGTTGCAAGAGTGGCCTTTCAGAACCCCGAAGCCACTTTGAGGTCCTGCTGTCATTCGGCTGTTTTCAACAAAGGAGCTTTCTCTCTAATGGCTAAGATCCTGGAACAGCTGCCAGGACTCAGAGACCAGAGGGGAAGAAGAGATGGAGGGAGGAAAAATGTGGTGTGCAGTTTACTTTGCAAGTGTTTACAGGACATGATCCAGACCAAGTCACTGTTAGCAACTGAAAAAGAACAGTTCCTCAAGTTTCTGGGTCTGCTCATGGAGCCCGTCACTTCAGCTGAGGGAGAAGGAAAGAGGGAAAGCGTTCTGTCACCTCACGAAGTCGTGAAAACCTTTGTCCTGCCTAACCTCTCAGCTACAGGTGAATATCACATGTTTATGTTTACCACAACCTACATTAGCTATTTTATTAGCATTTTACAGTTGTGATCAAAAGTTTAGATCCACTCGTCATGGATATGAATGTCATGGTAAACGTGGTGCTTTCACCACCTCTGGGCTTCTAACATTTCCAGGGTGGAATGATTGTACAGCATATATGTGTGATGACTTTGAAAAAAACAAAACAAGAATTGGATTCACAGGTTTTAATTTATTTCCACTGATCCTGACAGGGTCAAAATTCTAAATGTTAAATGAAAAGGTTAAGTGTACCGTAGCATGTTGCATCTTCATCAGACACTTTTAGTAGTTACCAATAAGCATCTGGCATAATTCTTGGCAGAATTGATAGGTTATTCAAAATTATTGGTTTCCAGGCATAGACCACTAGAGTTGAGGTCTGGGCTTTAGGAAGGGAATTCCAGAAGGTTACGGTAATGTCAGCCTTCTTTATCCAAGTTTCAACCATCTGACTGTTGATTTGAGCCACAGAGCATGATGCTACCACGACCATGCTTGACAGCAGGTACAGCATTCTTAGGTTTGAAAGCCTCTGCAGCTGCAAGTGTCAGTTAAGTGTGAAGATGTCGATTTTGGAGCAGGGGCTTCTATATCGGCACCTTCTTGGTCCATGGCGATGTAAAAAACAAAACAAAAAACAACTCTTCACTGTGGACAGTGATGCTGCTGTTCCAGAAGTTTCCAGTTACATAAATGCATTGGGATGTAAAGTAAATTATTTGTCACTGATAGTTATTCTGTGGTTCTGCCAGCTCACTGTTCTGTGGATGCAGAGCTGAGTATCCAGCTTCTCCAGACTGCTTTGTCTGTGGACATGCAGGAAGCAGCCACCACTCCTCACTGGGTGTTCGACTGCTCTCCTTTCCCCCTCCTCTACATGCTGGCCCAGCTACACAACCAGACTCTCAGGTTTGTATCATAAGTAAAGCTTTCCACTTTTTTATTTCTGAGCTGTTA